GGCCAGATATGCTTATAGTTTTCCTCATATTGAACCAGCCCTGCATTCCTGGTCATAGCACTTAATCTTTGTGAGATATCATTGTAATCTCCTTACTAGTATTTTATTTTAAAATTTTGCATCAATGTTCATTATGGACATTGGTCTATAGTATTCTTTCTCTGTTTTTGCTTTTCCTAGCTTAGGTATCAAATACATATTTTGTCATAGAAAGAATTTGGTAGGACTTCTTACCTATTTCAAAAATCATTATATAGTATTGGAATTAATTGTTCCTTAAATGTTTGGTAGAATTCACTTGTAAGTCCATCTGGTCCTGGGAATTTTTGCTTAGGGCACGATTTATGTTTTTTCAATTTCTTTTTTTTAAGTATTTAAGCATTCTATTTCTTCTTCTGTTAATCTGGGCAATTTATATTCTTTGTGAATATTCATTGATTTCACTTAGATTGTCAGTTTTATTGCCATATAATTGGACCAAATGCTTTCTAATAATTGCTTTAATTTCATCATCATTGGCTGTGTTTTTACCCTTTTCATTTTTTGATATTGGTAATTTGGTTTTCCTCTCTTTTTAATCAAATTAACTAGTAGTTTATCTATTTTATTGGTTTTGTCATAAAACCAGCTCCTATTTGTTTGATATTGAGTGGTTTCTTTGTTTTCAGTGTTATTAATCTCTCCTTTGATTTCAGGATTTGTTTTGATTTTTAAATAGCAATTTTTAATTTGTCCTTTTTCTAGTTTTTTTCATTGTGTAGCCATTCATTGATCTGCTTTTTCTCTCTTTTATTGATGTAAGCATTTAGAGACATAGTTTATCTGTTTCTATAATCTCTTAGTAGTTTGATTAGCTTGGCTATAAATCTCTATATTAATTTAGATATTTTAATGTTATCATAACCTAACAATAAACTTAAATATTTCTCCAATTATTTAAGCCTTCCTTCATTCCTGTGAAGTGTTTTGTAATTGTATTCCTTTAAGTTCTGAGTATGTCTTGCCAAATGAACTTCCAGGTACTCTTTAAATTCAGTTATTTTGAATCCCATTTCTTTTTCTGTCTGTTCCATTTGAGTTTTGTTAGTAATATACACTATATTTTATGCTATGTAGTATATTTTGTTAGTAATATATTGATGATTTAGTGGATTTATTTTATTTCCTATTTCTTTGATGAAGTTATTAACTGTTTCAGTTATTTTTTTACTTGAATCTCTTGTCTTCTCTAAGAATAGTTATCTTGGATAAATAGCAATGATATTACTCCTTTTTTGCCTACTAGTTCCCTCAATTTCTTTATATTCTATTACTGTAATAGCTAGTATTTTGAGCACTATATTAAATAATAGTGGTGACAGTGGACACCTCTGATTTTCTTCCGATCTTACTGGAAAACACTCTGTATTTTTCCACTACAGATACTTCCTGTTCTTGGATTTAGACATACTCTTTAAATTATTAAGGATTGGTATTCCTATGCTTTTTAGTCTTTCGGAATATAAATTAGTGGGGGTTTTTTTATCTAAAGCTTTTTCTGTGTCTGTTAGTAAAATCATGTGATTCTTTATTTTGTGATTGATCTAGCATATGATTATGTGTTGACCCAACCCTGGATTCCTGCTGTAAATTCAACCTGTTATTAGTCTTTTTAATATGTTCCTATAGCTTTATTGCTAATATTTTATTTGGTGTTTTAGTTGGTTTTCATTAGAGTTTTTATGATTTTCTTTGTCTTTTTTATTTCCCCATTGTTTGATTAGCAGGTCCAGATATATCTCATGGAAGGAATTGAAGAAGATGTTTTCATTCCCTATTTTTGGAAATACTTTATGGAATTTTGAAGTTAATTTTTTTTCAGTGCTTGCCAGAATTCACCTGTAAATCCATCTGGGTCTTTTCCCTCAACCCCCACTTTGGGAATTTATTAATGACTCATTTATTTTCTTTTTTCTGAGATCTGGCCATTTAAATTCCTGTTTCTTGTTCTATTAATCGGTGCATTCTATGTACTTTTTTAAATGTTCATCTCTTTTTTCAAGATGATTTTTTCATCAATTTTTTAAAAATCATTTTTGTTGGCACATAATTGGGAAAAAAGTTTCTAATAATTTCTTTTATTTACTCTTTATTATGAATTCTTTTTTATTTTTTTAAATTTTTCCTCTTTTTATAAAATTAGTTAATGGCTTGGACTATTTTATTAACATTTTCAGCTCCTATTTTTGTTTAACAACTTAGTAGCTTTTTAAAAATATCTTCATTGATCTTCAAAGTTTCTATTTTGTGTTAATTTTTGTTTTATCATCATTATTATCACTATGATTTTCTGGGGGGATTCTTAGTTACGTGTCCAATTCATTAAACTTTTTTGGATGAATTTGTTTACAGAAACATAATTTCCAAAAGGTACTGTTTTGGTTGCATACCAAAAGTTTTGTAATGCTGTGTCATTGTTACCATCTTTTTTAATGTTTATATGATTTGTTCTTTGACTTCTACATTTTCAGGGATTGTATTACTTAGTCTTCGTTTAAATTCAAATCCTTTCTTCAAAGACTTCGTTGATTATAATTTTGATTGTCTTGTGATCACTTAAAGTTTTGTTTAATATTTCTGCTTTTCTGCCTATTTATAAGTTGTGACCACATGGTCAGTTTTTGTGAAGATATCATTAAAGCTGAAAAATATGCATGGTCTTTTTAATTGCTGTTCTGTAGTAGAAAGAATTCTATTATATTTAACTTCTGTAAAATTCTATTCAGGTATTTATCTTCTTTCTTGTTTATCCTGTTATTAGATTTGTCTAGTTATGAATAAAGCACAGAAGCCCCAACTATCAAAATTTTATTCTCTATTTCTCCCTGTCATTCAGTTAGCGATTCCTTTAGGTACTTCAGGGTTATACCATTTGGTGCATGTATATTAAGTATTGATATTATTTTAATGTCCATGCTATATTTAAATATAATGTAGTTTCTCTGCTTATCCCTTTTAACCTTGTATATTTTTGTTGTTGTCCTGTCTATTCTCATGATTGCTGCACCTGCTTTTTTTAGAATTCAGTGGAATAAATTCTACTCTGCAAATTTCTCTCATTTTAATTCCATAAAAATTTTATGTGTCAAGTATGTTTCTTATAAACAACTTACGGTTGGAATCTGTTTTCTAGTCCATTCTGATACCCTCTTCTGTTTTGGAAGTCAGTTTGTCCTGTTTACATTCATGGTTATGATTGTCAATTAGGTTTTCCCTTCATTGTATGCTCTTGGAATTTTTCCTTTTTTTGTCCCTTGATACCCTCTTTATTAGTAATGTATAATGGAAGTGATCTAATTCTTCTCTCTGCCCCTCCTTTCTTCATCAAATCCAGACTCAGATCACTAGTTCTTACATTTTATTTCTCTCTTTTAACATATGTGTCTTTTAAAAACTTCTGTTGATCTATGAATGACTCATGTACCCATTTAATATCATTAGTCCCTTTTTCTACCTCGCTGGAATTTTTTCTGTTTGAATCTTCAAAATTTCATTCTTGAGAAACCCATTTCTCCTTAAACTATCTTTGCTGATGAAATTTTAAAGCATAGGATTCTACCCATCTTTTCTCTCAACTTTTAAAAATCTATTCTTTCTCAAACTGTAGGACACATCAGACTAACTTTCTTCTCTGTCACAGTGTCTAAGAAGGAATGACTGCTTTCTGCTAAAATGGTCGATATTTCTACCTCTAAAACCAGTTTTTTTCTCATTAGTCAGGATTAGGTTCAGAATACCAGCTCTCATCACTTCTTCTACCTTGTAAAGTATGAAAGGATAATAATAGCTAAAATTTATGTAACAACCTATTATCTCATTTCATCACTCACAAAATCTCTACTTTATAAATAATGAAACTGAGGCAGACAAAGGTTAAGTGACTTGTCCAGGGTCACATAACTGGTAAGTAACTGAGGCAACATTTAAACACAAATCTTCACTGTGAAGTGAGCATTCTGTTCAGCTGCTTTTATAATAATAACATTTTATAACAATAAATATAACATTTTAATAAATAAATTGTTATATTTATATATTAGACATAACATATTTATATTATAAATAATTCTATTTAATAAATAATAAATATAACATGAATGTGTTACAATTTTCAAAGCACTTTATAGCTATTATTTTATTTATCATTCAAGAAGGCCAGTAATTAATTAGCTGCTTTTCTCTTAACATGGAGAGAGCTTCATCTGTTTTAACAGATGTCTGAATAATTTGTGAAGTATCCCATTCTTATTATATCCTTCTTCTGCCAGGGTTATCATGTATTGCCTCAACTCCTCCTACCTTTATCTCAGGGTAGAGATTGTCTTACTTTTATATTTATATCCCTAGCACCTGGCACAGCACTTGCCGTTTAGGAAGTACTTTATTAATGTATTTTTTTTATCCACTGTTTTCCTCCTTTTGTCCAACTTGAGAAAAAATGGAGACAAAGTGTTCCTTTATAAAAGAAAAACAAATAATATAAGTATAAACAAAGTTTAATATTTGAAATTTTTAGAGAAGTATTAGTAATGTAATTTTTTCTAGTTATTCAAACCTAATGCTATATTTTTATGAAGAAAACTTTCAAGTAGAACCCCAGTATCCAAAAATGAGCTTTAATTGTATATCTAAAACTAATTTTTGATAGCAGTATGACCAGATCTGTCACTACTAGTAACTGTGGCATGTTATTTATTTCTAATTCAGAAATTTATGTGAAGTTTCCTGAAATTACGAAGTAAGCTCTAGAAAAAGTAAGCGCTCTCTCTCTCTCTCTCTCTCTCTCTCTCTCTCTCTCTCTCTCTCTCTCTCTCTCTCTCTCTCTCTTTCTCTCTTTCTCTTTCTCTGTCTCTGTTTCTGTCTCTCTCTCTCTTTCCCCCTCCCTTCCTCTTTCCCTTCCACTCTCTCTCTTTGTCTCTCTATACCCTCTTTTTCTGTCTCTCTGTCTCTGTCTCTCTCAGGAATGGCAAACTTATTGAAGACAATGAAAAATATACATTGAAAAAAAACAATACTGAACTAATTGTCAGGAACATTATAAACAGTGATGGGGGTCCTTATGTCTGCAGAGCCACAAACATAGCAGGAAAAGATGAAAAGCAGTCATTCCTACAAGTCTTTGGTAAGTATTAACTGATTGCTTTATAACCTACCTGTGTTTTGATAACAATACAATAGATTAAAAATGCTTTCCAAAAAAAATGTATGTATGGGAATGAACTTTATTTCTATTTACTGCTATAGGTATTAATCAAGAAAAACTGCAGTTAGTAAGCATTGATCATTGATTTATAACTGTAACACCCCCTTCCTAAAGGTAAAAATAACAATAACCGATTGAGAGCAATTATATATATAGTTTAATTATAGGGATGGACCTAAAGAATTTTTAGCATGAGTAGAACCACCTTGGCACATGTAACAAAATTTTAAAACATTTTGTGTACTGAAGGATACTCAGTTTTCACATTATAATCTCATCATTTCTTTTAAATACACTATAAATACTATTTATGTTGCTTTAAATTTGTAGGTTACCCACCTGTTTTGTTAAAGTATTGTAAATTGCTTAAAAACTATGCAGAGAGAAGAGAATAAATAAGCATGAACTAGAGGTTTCCTTGGGATAGCTTCACCAAAATAGTTTTTTCAAACACACTCTAATATTTTTTTTTAATGCTTTTTGGTAATTAAGTTTAAAATGAGGCAATGTTGCCTCAGACATAGAAAAGGCTGTGTTCCAGACCTGCTTCTGATACATACCAGCTGTTTCCTCTAGACAAGTCATTTAATCTCTCAGTGCTCCCAAGCAACTCTCTACCACTCAAAACTGAAAGATGCAGATCTGTATTGGTAGAAGAAACCTCCTTGCCATTTCTCTATACTGATGAAATCACAGGTCCTAGTTTTTTTTAGAGAGAGTTGAAAATGATAAATCTATGTACTTGAGGATAATTCCCAGGAAATAAGATCCAAGGTACTTGGATATTTTCAAACTAGGGGCTCACTGATTTCTCAGTGACTTTGAAATGATTAGATTTTTGCTTCTTAAGGCATGTAGCCAAGTGATTTCCCTCTACCATAAATCCCTTTGGAGTTCTTACTTTTCTACAAAATTCTATTCATGGTAAGAATTCTCCAAACCACTATTTCCCATAGCTTAACCAACACATTACTAATCCTCATAACTATTATTTCTATCTTTAAAAACCTAAGAAGGGAAAAGGGAATTTTATCCCTACAGTAACATGTGTAAAGAAAACTGATTCTCCCCACCCCCAGATATGTCTCAATTCATTTTTACAATAAATAAATAATAGTAATACAGCTACAACTAATACTAAAACTATTAGGAATGTAGAGTAAAAATAAAACAATGGTTTTGTCAGGCCTTCACACTTGAAACATCTTATAAAAGTAAGAAACATTTCAAAATATGAGTATTTCAATAATGGAACAGGTCCTACTACTGAGAAGTAAATTGTTCTAATAATGATAGATATGTAATGCTCCTCAACTTTATTTTACCACGGAGCGTCAACCACCTTTCATACTTACGTTTCTACTGCAGATGTTATGAAGAAAATAAAGATAATGATTTAAATTTTTTTCATCTTTTTTCCCCAGCCAACTCTCTTTTAGAGGTGCTAAAAAGTAGCAACATGGCTGATTGGAATTTTATAGCTGATTGAAATTGGAATTGCCGAACTCTAAGCAGGAGTTTGGCAGTGGGAAAAATGAACTATGAGCTATGTGAACAGGGGAATTGTGCTCCCTCCGTCTCAAGTCTTCAGTCTGCATGATAGACTGAGTTATAGTCATCTATCAATTATATGACTGGTCGTATAACTGACTCCCCTGTTTATAGTGCTTTAAGGATTGGAAAGCACTTTAGAGAGGAGAAAATTCCAAAGGAAAAGATGACCTCCAAATCATTTATAATTGTCTTTGGGAGACAGTTTTATACTTCTTTTTTGAATATGGGAGAGTTTGTGTTTATTAAGGTATCATTTAAGAGTCCTTTTGGAGGCATGAATTTTTGACTGCAGAGTTATGAAACTTCTATCCTGATATGACTAAAATATAGCTAGCTTTTCCATTTCACTTACCAAAGCATGACTGGCCTAAGAATACTCTTATTTGAAGCCTCAAAATCAATCTGATATCACATAAATGCAAATCATTAATAGTATCTTCTAACATTATGACAGTAACAAATTTAGTTTAAAAATAATGTCAAACTCAAATAGAAATAGGGGCAGTGCATAAGGATCCCTGAAGCCACATGCTGACTTATTTTTAAAATTAATGTTATTTGTGCTTTTTTTGTATTTTAATTTTGTTAAATATTTCCCAATTACGTTGTAATCTGGCTCAGCTAGGAGATTCAGGCCCTATTTTTGGCATCTCTGCTTAAAACAGTGACAACCACCACCAAAACACCTTTGATTGCCACCTCATTGTGTTACACATGTATCTGCTATCCTTTCCCTACTGTCTCCGAATTTCCATGAGGCACTTAGGAAGCAGCAAGAACTATGGTGATAGTAGTGAAGCAAGAGATTTTATTCAGCACATACTCATGACCAGAAATAGCTGGGGAAGAAATACCACCTAGTTGGGTCAGGTGGTCCTCAGGCAAAAAGTGGCACCAGAAATTTAGCCATATGGAGGAATTTATATGGGCTAAAATAGGATCAGGGGTCCCTTCTTTCCCTTACCTTTAGTCAAAGGAGTTAAACCCAGGGAAGTCAGCCCAGCTGAGGAGTACTACAAATGATTGATGATAAGGAGTCATAGAACTCAAGTCTTGACATGCAAGTTATAGAACCCTAAGGTGATAGGGAAAGATCCTAATAGTAAAGGGACTGGGCCATTATGATCAAGTGAAGGGAAAAAAATAGGTTGTATTTGGCAATTTGAATAGCCATGTCATTTAGAAACTACCTATTATTAACTCTTTCCTGGTTTTCACAAAGGAAAAGTTTCTGTAAATTAGGGAACAACTAAAGAGTAAGTAAAACGTAATATGGAAAAATGTGGTGTGTTACTTCTACGAATGATATAATAGAACTTAATTGATATCTGAATATACCAGGCATTTGTAAGCTGTTAACTAGGGCTGGGAGAACTTAGATGCTCTCCTGGGCCTCAATAGAAGGGACACCCTACTGCAGGTTTCCTGCCTTGTGTTCTATGTCACAGACCTCTTTGACCTCTGGGTGCCACCATTTCTGCTATTGCTTCTGACTGCACCCCACTTAAGAGAAAAAATTTGTGAGGTGTCATTATGAATGTATTAGAAATTGAGATTTGTAACCGAAATGTGATAGCTTAGTGGTAAATTTTATGTTATGGTTTAAAGGTTTTTCTACCTGCTAAAAACATCTTTATTTAGTTTTAGAGGTTTGCTGCTCTGATTAAGAACAAACAGCACAAACTTCTCTCCTTTTATTGGAGGTGATAAATGTATTTTTCTGGTTAAAGAGATGATTTTTACCTACTAGAGAATAAACAGAATTGAAGCTACTTTGAAGTAATTGAGTAAGTTAGTAGCTAAGTCGCCTGAGTTGTAATAGACTATGCAATGATGTAAAAGTTTAAGCAATTAGGTGAGGGAGGTTTTTTGATCACTTGAAGTAAGAAAGATATCAGAAATGTTATGTATTCATCCTTTATGATATGGAAACTATAGTAATAAAATTGCAGCAGGAAATTCCCAGGGTGGAAGCTGCCATTTGGAGCCTCTCCCTGCCTCTCTTGCATGGTTAAAACTCAGGGATAGTTGACAGAATGGGGACTGAGTTATGAACACAAAAGGAATTTGATCCCACTCTTTGGGTGATTTAAAAGGAAACAGATAAAAGGTTATAGGGAGCTGAGAGTGCCACTACATCTTTGAAAATGAGCTAATTGATTAGTGGGCTCTCAGTCTCTAAGTGCTGCCAGAAATTTTTGAGATTTTAATTGTTATCATTGGCAATTATAAAATCCAGATTTGATTTGGTTGAAATCTGCCCTGAAACTAAATCACAATGTGGTCTAAATGTGTTCTCCTATCATGATAATTGTGGTAAATCAGAATTTAATGTAAATTACATGTGCTACTTGACATTAAAATAATATGCTAGGAAATGCATGAATCAGGAAAAACCTGATTCAAAATCTGGTCTCAGAAATTTATTAGCTGTGTGACCTTAAGCGAGTTATCTCACATCTGTTTACCTCAGTTTACTAATCTGTGAAATGGATAAAAATAGTACTTACCCCCAGGAGGACCAGATGATATAATGATTGTGAAGTGCTTAACATACTGCATAACATAAATTTGGTAAATCATTGTATTAGAAATATTGTCAGAAAAGTAAATTCCATTTTAATCTGGATTCTCTTGGCTTATAGAGTCAATTGCTAACTTTAATGTGTGTTCTATTACTACTTTCAAAAGATTTACACATTTTCATATCTTTTATATAATTGTTATACTATATAGATTAAGTGTAATTCATCAATATATACAAATGAAAGTACATAAGGAATTTATCAAATACTACAAGATAGTAGTGACATGAAAACTATTAAAATTATATATATATTTCTTATTTTTTTGTAATGCCAGCCATTGGCTAGATATTCCATGAATAATAAGTGTCCTTTTTAAAAATTAGTTACTACATCTAAATCATCAAAAAAAATTTTTCAGGACTCAGACAGAGTTTTTGAGGAATTTAAAACATAAATATATCCTTATAAAGATCAAGACTTTACTACATTGTTCTGGTGTTTGCTTCACTTAAGAAAATATTTTAAAAAATACGTAAGTTCTAGCAAAAAAACTATATAATTCATCTTGCCAACTGATTTTTAAGAAGGGCAAATTGTAGTTAATGAAATTGTTAATGTTTGTCTAGATGATAACTATTTTCTGTATTTGAGATCAGGAAAAATCCATTCAATATTTTCCTCTCAGGTGAAGTTGTCTTAAAGTTTTAACATTTATTTGACTGTTGTATGTAGAACACAGCTTTTAATCTATTATCTGACCTTTAGAATAGAAAATGTCAAGAAAGGAAATATTATAAGATAGATTAATTTTAAATTATTAAACCTTTTGATGAATCATAAAGTAAGTATTGGCACAATTATGGAAGCAAGTATTAAATATGGCAGAAGTACAATTGTATCTATGGCAACCATAATGTCTTTTAAATATCAGAACATCATTATCTTCAGAAAATAAGTTAATTCTATTAGTATTTTATGTTTTTCATATTAGATGACTAAATAATTCAACCATCATAAAGATAATTTCATGGATTATGTTGAGTGTGTTTTCAACAGTTAAAAATATTTTCAAAGTGCTAGGATGAATTTATTGAAGTACCTACATACATTTTGTTTTTACAGTACAGCCTCACATAATACAACTTAAAAATGAAACGACATTTGAGAATAGTCAGATAACACTTGTATGTGAGGCAGAAGGAGAACCCATTCCTGAAATCACATGGAAAAGAGCTCTGGATGGAATAACTTTTTCTGAAGGAGACAAGGTAAAAAAAAAAATCTTTTCCTAATTATTTTGTTATAAAATCATAAACTTTTAATATTAAAAATTTTTACTGAATTCTTCATATTACTACAAGATACTAAAGCTTCTCTTATATTAAGAGACATAAATAACCTCAACCCAAAGTAAAATAAATTAGATTTACCATTATTTCAGAGAAATACTAACAGAAGATATTTGCCTTCACTCTCTTCCTCAATTAAAGGCCTTGAGAACCACGTGTTTCTAGTCTACCATACCCTGCTCGTTTTACATCACTGCCTCTCATGATGTTCCAGCCAAACTGGTCTACTTTCTCTTCCCCACACACTCCCTTCCAAGTCAGGGATTCTTAACCTAAAATCTCTGAATTTTTCAAGTTTTAAAAAATATTTTTAGGGGCAGCTAGGTGGTGCAGTGGATAGAGCACTGGCCTTAGAGTCAAGAGGACCTGAGTTCAAATCTGGCCTCAGACACATGATACTCACTAGCTCTGTGACCCTGGGCAAGTCACTTAACCCCAACTGCCTCCCTCCCAAAAAATATTTTTATAATTATATTTCAATATGTTAGATCTTCTTTAAAATTTTATGTATTTAATTTTGTGCATTTAAAAACATTTTGAGAAGGGATTCATAGGCTTCAGCAGACTTCCTAAAAGATCTATGGCAGAAAAAAGGTTAAGAACACACCTGCTCTGTAAATTGTGTCTGAACAGGCCATGTACCAGATAACTAGAATACACTTCTTCTTGAGCTTTACCTTTTACAGTCCCAAGCTTCCTTCACATCTCAGCTAAAGTGCCATCTCCTATACAAGGGCTTCCTCTTCTCCAGGTTTAGCATCCCTTCTCCTCCTATGACATGGTTCAATTAACCCCTCTGGGTTTCAGTTTCCTCTTAAGTAAAATAAAATGTTTGGAGTATATGATCACAAATATTTGTTCCAGCTCTCCATGTTTATAAGATTTCAGTAACATAAGATAGAAATATTTTTTCATCTTAATTCAGTAATATGATAGCTTTTCTTCCTAGCTTTGAGCTTTAGATAAGCTTGCAGCCAAGAAGAGGGGCAGGACTTATCACTAGCCAAACATCACACTCAGTCCTATTTAAGGTTTTCTTAACATTTGTCTAACAGAACCATACCCCTAGAGCTATTAGGATGACATTACCTTTCCCTCTACCACTGTCATTGCATATTGCATGGTTTTAAAAGTACTCCAATTCTGCTTTCCTGGCCAAATTCTTTACTAGTCCCTTCTTCATAACTCACCTGAGACAAAAAGATGCTACTGTTAACTAAAGAAAAAAGAAAAGCAACTTGCAAAGTATGCAGTTAATGAATTATGAAGCAAATGTGTCTTATCTTGGGATATTCCTAATAAAGCAATAGATTAGCTTCAGGAACCTGTGTCAGCTTACCCCTCTAATCTAATTAGTATCTTGAATTGGCCCCTTGAAATATCCTGCCAGCGTGATTTCTCAGGAAAAAGAAGATTCCATCGTTGCTGTCAATTCAGCTCCTTTTCTGTACTGCTTCAAAAGTGCCTTTCTGAAAACTTTCGTGAAGTTTCAGCTTCAGAGTACACATTCTCCATCATTAGGCTGATAAGACTAACAAAAAGCTGGGTCTAATTTAAAAATCCATGCCTGTTTTAGCTCAGCTGCTGACTCCTTCCACTTCCCTGTTTGTTCACCTCCAGGGTAGTAATCCTAAACCCACATTAATATACTTTACTTGTAACTGATATCCTCAGGGCTCATTCACCCAACTCATGTTGCCACTGGCAAGATGGGTCCCTTGAGGGATAGCTGTTACTATTTTCAGGGGAAGAATAAGATTTTTCTCTTAAGCATTAGCTCACAAGCCCCACTGGTTGCTTTCCCTTAATAATCAGCCAGTAGATTCAGTTCTTTAGCAAAGGCATTTACTGCTCAAATGGCGTAGCAAGAATAGTAATTACAAAACACCAGGAGTACACTCTTCCACAAATACACCCAGAGTGCAGGAGGGGAGAAAAGTGGGTACAAACTTGAAGTATGGTGTTAGCAATGTACATGTATAGGAAGCAGATATGGCCAAGCTACAGAACCTTAGTAGTTCTTTTACTCTCTCTCTCTCTCTTTCTCTCTCTCTGTCTCTCTCTCTCTCTGTCTCTCTCTCTCTCTCTCTCTCTCTCTCTCTCTCTCTGGAAGGTCCTCGTGACATTAAGGAGGTAGTCTCCATATTGGTCATCAGCAAGGCACTCCACTGTACAGCTATCTCCACTCTCCTGAGCTTGCTTTTGTTAGGACCTGGTGTTTTGATCAAATGGGCCAATGTGCTTCTGGGTTGGGTCTGGCAAGTCATATGATGCCTGTCTTAGTTCCTCATCAGGCTGTGCTCCTGTGGCCTGAGCTGGGGAGTTGCTAGGAGGGCTGCTAAAAAGGGATGGGGGCAGCTAGGTGGCGCAGTGGATAGAGGACCTGCCGTGGATTCAGAAGGACCTAAGTTCAAATCTGGCCTTAGACACACAAAACTTACTAGATGTGTGATCCTGGGCAGGTCACTTAACTCCATTGTCTAACCAAAAAAAAAAAAAAAGAATCAACTATAAAGGGATAAGGATGCTACTCTCTTTCTAGGTAGCTACTGCCAGGTGGGTTTGGCAGTTTTCTTTTTTTTTTTAATAGTATTTTTTTCCAATTACATATAAAGACAATTTTAAACATTCTTTTTTTTTTTAAATTTTGAGTTCCAAATTTCTTCCTCTCTCCCCTTCTCCCTCCCTGCCTGTAGTGGTAATCAATTTCGTATAGGTTATATATGTGCAATCATGTAAACATATTTCCATATTAGTCATGTGGTGAGAAAAGAAACAGACTGAAAGGGAAAAAAGCATGAAAAAAAGTGAAAATAGTATGCTTCAGTCTGTATTCAGACTATATCAGTTCTTTCCCTGGATGTAGATAGCATTTTTCATCACAAGTCCTTTGGTATAAGTCTTGGATCTTATATTATGTGAGAAAAGCTGTTATTCATAGTTGTTCATCACATAATGTTGCTATTACTATATAAAATTATCTCCTGGTTCTGCTCACTTCATCTTGCATCAATTCATGTAAGTCTCATTTCTTATAGCACAATAGTATTCCATTACATTCATATACCAAAACTTGTTCAACCATTCCCCATTCATGTACATGCCCTCAATTTCCAATTCTTTACCACCACAAAAAGAATTGCTATAAATATTTTTGTACATGGAGGTCCTTTTACCTTTTTTATGATCTCTTTAGGATACTTACCTAGTAATGGTATTTCTGGATCGAAGGCTATGCTCAGTTTAATTGCCCTTTGGCATAGCTCCAAATTGCTCTCCAGAATGATTACATCATTCACAACTCCATCACCATGCATTAGTGTCCCAATTTTCCCACATTCTCTCCAAAATTTATCATTTCCCTTTTCTGTCATATTAGCCAGTGTAATAGAAGTGAGGTGGTACCTCAGAGTTGTTTGAATTTGCATTTCTCTAGTTTATAGTGATTTAGAGAATTCTTTCATATGAGTACAGATAGTTTTAATTTCTTAGTCTGAAAACTGCCTATTCATATCCTTTGGCCATTTATCAATTGGGGAATGACTTGTATTCTCATAAATTTGATTGAGTTCTCCATATATTTGACAAATGAGGCCTTTTATCAGAGACACATGCTGTAAAAATTGTTTCCCAGCTTTCTGTTTTCCTTCTAACCTTGGTTGCACTGGTTATGTTTGTGCAAAAACTTTTTAATTTAATATAATCAAAATTATTATTATTATTATCCATTTTACTTCCCATAATGATCTCTGCCTCTTCTTTGGTCAAAAATTCTTCCATTTTCCATAGATCTGACAGGTAAACTATTCCTTGCTTTCCTAATTTGCTTATAGTATTACCTTTTATTTCTAAATCATGTACCCATTGTGACCTTATTTTGCTATATGGAGTAAGATGTTAGTCTATACCTAGTTTCTGCCGTACTGTTTTCCAGTTTTCCCAGCAGTTTTTATCAAATAGTGAGTTTTTATCCCAGAAGCTGGAGTCTGTGGGTTTATCAGACACTAAATTACTGTGTCATGTGTACCTAACCTATTCCACTGATCCATCACTCCATTTTTTAGCCAGTACCAGATAGTTCTGATGATTGCTGCTTTATAAAATAGTTTAAGATTTGTTACAGCTAGATGACCTTCTTTTACATTTTTTCATTAATTCCCTTGATATTCTTGACCTTTTATTCTTCAAGATGAATTTTATTATTTTTTCTAGCTCTGCAAAATAGTTTTTGGTAGTTTGATTGGTATGGCACTGAATAAATAAATTTTTCCAGTTGTTTAGATCTGACTTTATTTTATGGAAAGTGTTTTATAATTGTATTCATATAGTTCCTGGGCTTGTCTTCAAAGGTAGATTCCCAAATATTTTATATTGTCTACTCTTATTTCAAATGGAATTTCTGTTTCTCTCTTGCTGCTGGGCTTTGTTAGTATATAGAAGTGCTAATGATTTATGTGGGCTTATTTTATATCATGCAACTTTGTTCAAGTTGTTAACAAGTAGTTTTTTAGTTGATTCTCTAAGTAAACCATCTGAAAAAGAGTGATAATTTTGCTTCCTCATTGCCTATTCTAATTCTTTCAATTTCATTTTCTTTTCTTATTGCTAAAGCTGACATTTTTAATACAATATTGAATAATGGTGGTGATAATGGGCATCTTTGCTTCACCCTTGATCTTATTGGGAAGGCTGCTAGTGTTTCCCTATTACAGATAATGTTTGTTGATGGTTTGAGATAGATATTACATATCATGTTAAGGAAAGCTCCCTTTATTCCTATGCTCTCTGTTGTTTTTAATAGGAATGGGTGCTGTATTTTGTCATAAGCTTTTTCTGCATTGATTGAGATAATCATATGGTTTTTGTTAGTTTTAATAACAGTCAGTTATGCTGATAGTTTTCCTAATATTGAACCAACT